ACATCAGTTTGTAAGGAAGAATGAGTAGAAGTTGACCCCTAAAAAAATTTGTTAGAAAATTTTTTGTGAGTACATATAGTTCCTCATCTTTTTGTCTTTCAGCTCAGCGATGGCCTCATTCTTCCTGAAACTAACGCTAGTCGGGATATGAAAGTGGGTTTTTGCTACAAATGACAAATTTTTAAATTTAAAGTTATCTGCACATGCTTTTCAAGGCTAATTTTAGATATTTAAACGGGTTTTACGTGATCCGAAGCTCCGACAACCATTCCAGTTATTCCTCGAACAGCAATTTTGTGCTGAAAATTTGAATTTCTACGTAGCAGTGGAACGGTTTCGAGATATGCAGTTCAACAACGAAAGCAAGGTATGCAAAATCAATTTGTATAAGTCTAGAATAGGAATATGTTATACAATTTTACAGGCCTCAGAACGTGCCAATTTTGCACGTCACATATATGAAAGGCATTTTGCTGCAAATAGTACGGAACCTGTAAATGTGGATAATTCAACAAGCAAACGCATTCGCGAAACTATGCAAGCAGGCAAATATCCTCGCAACACATTTGATTTAGCTCAGTATCAGGTTAGTGCTCAAAATGTTCCATTTATTGTAATTCTGGATATATCAGTTATAAGTAACTTTTAAGTATCCGGTGTTTCTCTTTTGCATCACAATCGACAATCGAAACAGCTTTGCAGAATAGTGTTTCCATATTTTAAAATAGAATTTTTCTCTAGGTATATCAACTATTTTTAATTTGTAGAAATTAGCTCTATACACCCAACTCAGAAAAAGTATTCATTTTGATCAATGCGAAGGTAGGGTTGTCGGCAAATATATATTGTTTTTTGTTTCATTTAATTAACGTCAAATGCTTCATATATCGGGTCACAGAACTACGTATATTCTGAGGTTGACTTTGACCTTTAAGAAATGGATCTGCATCTTATTTGTAAAAGAGACTGCACAATTCAACCGTGCGATGGCTTAACACAAAAAAAAATCAAATGGAAGTTTTGGTAGAAGCCAA